ATCCACCATATTCTATGGTCTTCCCATCGCACTCATTCTCTTACTCATTCTGCTTCAGCTTGGCAGAGTGAATCAAAATAATTCAGTCCCCTTCTCCCATGGCAACATTGTCAAAGTGGTTATCTATCTGAAGATAGAAAACAGCAAGAACGCAAATGGAACAAATACCAAAATGGGTGGGAAAGACTTTTTTTTTTAAATGAGATATTTTGCCCATGACATGATTAGATTTGAACCTCACTCATTGTTTTTCTGGCTTGAGTCCTGTGGGCCTGGCAAAGTGTGCATGTAACTCAATTGGGTTGGAGAATTTGGGTATACTGGGGCAAGAGAATGAGACAAACATGTCCTCTATCCTGCGAGATGGTTCAAGCTATTCCAGGCAGTGGAGCTCTAGATAATATATGTAAATACTTAAAACATAGAGATCTGTCACCCAGTTGGCCATGACAAGCCACTGTTTCCCCAGGAGCTAAATTTGCCTGTATCTCTGTCTTCAGGTGAAGAATATTGAGGAGCACCGGCAGCGTAGTCTGGACTCTGTGCAGGAGCTGATGGAGAGTGGGCAGGCAGTGGGCGGCATGGTTACCACAACCACAGGTCAGCTGTCCCCCTCTTCCATGTCAAATGATTAGGAGCAGATGTGCATCCCAAAGGGACTTCATTTTCCTACCTATTCTTAATGTCAGTGTATGTTGGAGTAGGACCATTTTGTGCTATGCTAGGTTGAAAGCAGTGTTTCTGGAGTTTCCCAGACATAGCTGGGAGGCTCTCACATTACTTTTATTGAGAATGTCTTTTTCTTATCTCTTTCCCACCTCTTCCCAGATTGGAACCAGCCAGCGGAGGCACAGCAAGCTCAGCAAGTCCAGCGGATCATTTCGCGTTGCAACTGCCGAATGTACTATATTAGTTACAGCCATGACATTGATCCTGAACTAGCAACTCAGATTAAGCCACCTGAAGTTCTTGAGAACCAGGAAAAGGAAGATCTCCTAAAGAAGCAGGAAGGTATTCAGGGCTCGAAAGGCTTTTAAGGGGGGACTTTGAAATAGTAGAGTTATTAAAAGTTCACTGTGCACTGGCATTAACATTTCACTTTGCTCTACTTTTTGTAAGTTCTGTTATTAGAAAATAACCTCTATTCTTGGAGGGAGCTGGGATGAATGGGCATTGCTTATGATTCTGAAATAAACATTTCTGCCCATGAGTACCTCTCACCCTTTCTGTGGGGTTGACTAGTGGGGTGGTTCCAAATGTGGGTTAGGAGATGGAGTAGATATTTAGGTAGAAACTTGAGCCTTTTATTTAGCTGCTAACAATTATCTAGGGGCTGTGGATACCTTCACCCTTATCCACCATGAGCTGGAAATTTCCACTAACCCAGCTCAGTATGCCATGATCCTGGACATCGTCAACAACCTGCTGCTGCATGTAGAACCCAAGCGGAAGGTGAGCACGGGTCCTTGTAGAATGCTGGTTAGCCTCACAGGAACACCCAGACTTTGTGCTTTATTTGGCCTCATGCTTCACACGGAAAAAGGGCCTTGTGGTTAACACATCCTCTTAGTCAGCAGTGGCAGTTGGAATCCTACTTATTTAGAAAAGGCCTGAGTGTCTCTCAGACTGTAGGGCTTGTTTGCCTTATTGTTTTCTCCTAGTCATTTCTCTACCCAGTCACCTAGACACTTGTAAAAGCATTAACTATTCCCTGCTTCCACCTCCATCTGCATCCCCTTGGGCCTGACTTGTTGTGAAATCCACATTGCCAGATTTTCTGCATTGACCTACCACTGTTGCTATTAACAGTGACAGATAAAGGTTAGCTTTCTAGAAGAGATTCCCCCCATTTCTTTCTCCTTTCTCTATTTCACTTTACTGTAAGAATTGTCTATTTAGAAATCCTATTCATTTCCCTTTCCATTCCTTTAGGAACATAGTGAGAAGAAGCAACGGGTCAGGTTCCAGCTTGAGATCTCTAGCAATCCAGAGGAGCAGCGCAGCAGCATACTGCATTTGCAGGAGGCTGTGCGGCAGCATGTGGCCCAAATACGACAGCTGGAGAAGCAGATGTATTCTATCATGAAGGTAGTCACTGCAGATAGATAGTCAAGGACCAGGAAGTCTCCTAGAATGAGGGAGATCTCCTCTCAATTTCTATCCTGGTTCCCTAGTCTTTGCAGGATGATAGCAAGAATGAGAATCTGCTTGACCTGAACCAAAAGCTTCAGTTGCAGCTAAACCAGGAAAAGGCCACCTTGCAGCTGGAAAGTGAAGAGCTGAATATCCTCATCAGGTACCCCAGTATTCTTTCCTTACTCTTTTCCAGTGCCTCAGCTAGAGGCAGTTCTTCTCTTCCTTGTCCATGTTCTGACTATCTTTAGGTCTAATGTGCATTATCAAAGGCTCATGTAGGAATAGGTTCAGACACCTCTTCCTGGAAAAGAAAAATGGGTAGTTGGGAAAGATCACTTTTTTTAAAAAAAAAAAATAGAGTTTTGCTCTTGTTGCCCAGGCTGGAGTGCAGTGGCATGATCTCGGCTTACTGCAACCTCCGTCTCCTGGGTTCAAGTGATTCTCCTGCCTCAGCCCCCCAAGTAGCTGGGACTATAGGCGTGCGGCACCACATCCAGCTGATTTTTGTATTTTTAGTAGAGACGGAGTTTCACCATGTTGGCCAGGATGGTCTCAATCTCCTGACCTCGTGATCCACCCGCCTCGGCCTCTCAAAGTGCTGGGATTACAGGCGTGAGCCACCATCCCCAGCTGAAAGATCACTTTTATGGCCTTTTTGTTTGTTTGTTTGTTTTTGATCTCCTTTTTTTGTACCTGTATATGTCAAGGAATTTTATGGCCTTGATACTATGCATCTGAATTGAAAATATATTTTTTTTAAATGAACCTGACATAACAAACATGAAAATATCTTGAAGTTGATCAGTATACAATTGCATATATAATTGTAGGAATTATTAGTGGGAAGATACTACTTTATCAAGAAGCTATAGAGCTGAAAGATGGGGTTTATGTTTCTATGACCTAGAATGTCAGGAGCAATAAATTCAGTGAAAAAAAATTTAGGGACTTTCTAACCCAGAATAGGTTAATTTTTGAGTTTACCTCCTGCATCTTTTTTTTTTTTTTTTTTTTAACCCAAGCAGCACTATCTTGAACCCCCTGCATCACTCTAGAGCATACCACCCTACCCCCAACCCGTGTGCTATTTCCCTTACTGGCTTTGGCTCCCCTGTCCACTTATAGGTGTTTTAAGGATTTCCAACTGCAGCGGGCTAACAAGATGGAGCTGCGAAAGCAGCAAGAAGATGTGAGTGTGGTCCGTCGCACTGAGTTTTACTTTGCTCAGGCACGATGGCGCCTGACAGAGGAAGATGGACAGCTGGGAATTGCTGAATTAGAGCTGCAGAGGTTCCTCTACAGCAAGGTATCTGGGGTATATGGTCACACAAAGGCAGCTGTGTTGAGAGACATTGACCTAGCTTAGGAGTCTAACTCATAAAAGAGAAATAAAAAGGGGCTATTATATGCTTGTTAATGATGGTATAATTGGAAACATGAGCAGTGCTTCCTTAGACACATCTGTTTATAATGAATGATACACATATAGCTCTGACGCCATAGGGGAGAGTAAGAATGAACAAAGAAATAAAATATTTTTTTAAAAAAGTGATACAGGCCAGGTGTGTGTGTGCCTTTAATCCCACAACTTTGGGAGGCTGAGAGGGGAGGATTGCTTGAAACCAAGAGTTCAACAAAAAATTTAAAAAGTAGTGCATCGGCCAGGCGTGGTGGCTCACGCCTGTAATCCTAGCACTTTGGGAGGCCGAGGTGGGTGGATCACCTGAGGTCAGGAGTTCAAGACCAGCCTGGCCATCATGGTGAAACCCCATCTTTATTAAAAAAAAAAAAAAAAAAAATAGCGCATCATGGTGCACACTTGTGGTCCCAGCTACTTGGGAGACTGAGGCAGGAGGATTGTCGGCCCAGGAATTCGAGCCTGCAGTGAGCTGTCATCATACCATTGCACTCCAGCCTGGGAAACAGAGTGAGACACTATCTCTACAAAAGAAAATAAATAATTAAAAACACATATGATAGGCTGGGTGCAGTGGCTCATGCCTGTAATCCCAGCACTTTGGGAGACTGAGGCTGGTGCATCACCTGAGGTCAGAAGTTCAAGACCAGCCTGGCCAACATGGTGAAACTCTGTCTCTACTAAGAATATAAAAATTAGCCAGGTGTGGTACACATCTGTGGTCCCAGCTATTTGGGAGGCTAAGGCAAGAGAATCGCTTGAACCGAGGAGATGGAGGTTGCAGTGAGCTGAGATTGTGCCGCCACTGCACTCCATTCTGGGTGACAGAACTAGATTCCATCTCCAAAAAAAAAAAATTACAAAAGTTAGCTGGGTGTGATGGTGTGTGCCAGTAAGCCCAGCTACTCAGGAGGCTGAGGCAGGAGAATGGCTTGAACCCAGGAGGTAGATGTTGCAGAGCTGAGATCATGCCACTGAATATCACCCTGGGCAATAGAATGAGACCCTGTCTCAAATTAAAAAAAAAAAAAGATATGATACAGATCAGTTTGATCAAATGCTTTTCTCATTGAGTAAGATTATCCCTAAAAATGTGGCCCAGAGGCAAATAATATTTCATGTCCAGCCTGGAATTGAATCTTCTTTTTTTTTTCTTTCTTTTTTTTTGAGACGGAGTCTTGCCCTATCACCCAGGCTGGAATGCAGTGGCACAGTCTCGGCTCACTGCACCCGCTGCCTCCTGGGTTCAAGTGATTGTCCTGCTTCAGCCTCCTGAGTAGCTGGGATTACAGGCGTGTGCCACCACGCCCAGCTAATTTTTGTATTTGTAGTAGAAATGGGGTTTTACTGTGTTGGTCAGGCTGGTCTTGAATTCCTGACCTCGTGATCAGCGCACCTTGGCCTCCCAAAGTGCTGGGATTATAGGTGTGAACCACCGTGCCTGGCAGGAATAGAATATTCTAATACTGACATTCAGCTTTCCTGCCATTGACATGAAGAAGAGGATGTTATTTATTACTTTCTCCTACAAGGGACATTTGGAAATGAGTTAGACAATTTTTTAATGTCACTATGGCTAGATAGTACTACCAGCATTTAGTGTCCTGGATAATGGTACCCATGAGAAATGCTAGATTAAAGGGTGTTGATTGTATGAGATTGAAGAAGAAAGCAAAGTTGGGATTAGGCATACGTAGAGCCTGAAAACAAACTGGATATATAGCAATTGTCTAGTAGACTTCTGAGAAAGGTTTATTATAGTAGATGGGGCAAAATCTGTCTTTATAGGTGAATAAGTCTGATGACACAGCAGAACATCTTCTGGAGTTGGGCTGGTTCACTATGAACAACCTCCTCCCCAATGCTGTCTATAAGGCAAGTCTTTTTTCCTCCATTCCTAGTCCATTTGCATGTTTTTAGCACAGGGCATTTATAATGGCTCTTTAATATAAATCCACTATGGAAAACAATGTGGTGATCAGAGAGGGTGAAAGCTTGCCCAGCTTAGCAATTCCATTGCTTCTCCTGTCATTCTGCAGAGAGTTTATGGGTTGCTTTATGGCAGGAAGGACATTGGGTTGGGCTGTTATTTACTCTGTATCCTACAGGTAGTACTGCGGCCCCAGAGCTCCTGCCAGTCTGGGCGACAGCTAGCTCTCCGCCTCTTCAGCAAAGTCCGGCCCCCTGTTGGGGGTATCTCTGTTAAGGAGCATTTTGAGGTTAGTAAGCAGTCCCTTAGGGACCTGGGAACAAAGGACATTCAAAAGCCAGCTGTGTGTTACACAATATCAGGAGTAGGTAAACTGATGATGGTGTCTAAGCTTAATTGCTTCTTGAATCTTTTTCCTCTTTAGGTAAATGTGGTGCCTCTCACCATCCAGCTGACACACCAGTTCTTCCATAGAATGATGGGCTTTTTCTTTCCTGGCCGAAGTGTGGAAGATGATGAAGTTGGTGATGAAGAGGATAAGTCCAAACTGGTGACTACTGGTGAGAACTTTTATGATGGAGTGTCAGAAGAATAGAGTAGCAGCCTCAAAGACAGCTGAGACTTCAGAATGAGGATGGATGACAACTGGTGCACTTGCTGTTTCATAGGAATACCAGTGGTGAAGCCTCGGCAGCTGATTGCAACAGATGATGCAGTACCACTGGGCCCTGGGAAGGGTGTGGCGCAGGGTTTGACTCGGAGTTCTGGGGTCAGAAGGTCATTTCGCAAATCACCAGAGGTACCAAACATGCCCCTGATGACAGAAAAATGGGAGAGTCCTGAGGTCCTGTTTGGCGTGGCTTGGGATTTCTTTGGTTTCAAGTCCACTCTAAGGATAAAAGAACAGGGAGATGTTTGGGGTCCTGAGTTTATTCTGATGGATTCAGGGGTCACACTCCTTGCCTGCCTTTCTTAGCACCCTGTGGATGATATTGACAAGATGAAAGAGCGAGCTGCCATGAACAACTCCTTCATCTACATAAAGATTCCACAGGTTCCACTGTGTGTCAGCTACAAGGTTTGCACCACTCAAGCACTTTGTAGAACAGGGTGGGAAGGGAACCAGATAAGATCATCAGAGATTCTAGACAGGGAGACAGCCAGGTTGTTTGTGATGCTGAGTTGTGGGTGATAAATCTGCTGTTCCTCTGCTCCCGTCAGGAGTCAGCACCATTACCAGGCTGAGGTAAGGGGAAATCAGTATCTGTAGGTTATTATTGTAGGACTTGTACTCAGGTGGCTGGCTTGGACTCAAAATGGCAGCTGATGTATTTTTGTCCCCCTCTTTTTTTCTTTCTCCTCTCCCTCCTCTTACAGGGTGAGAAGAACAGTGTGGATTGGGGTGACCTTAACCTGGTGCTGCCCTGTCTGGAGTACCACAACAACACATGGACATGGCTAGACTTTGCCATGGCTGTCAAAAGGGACAGCCGCAAAGCCCTGGTTGCCCAGGTATCCCGCCAGGGCTCATGGCTGTTTGGTTAATGGGGCTGGCAGGCAGATCCTCTTTTCAGGCACATTTTGTTTTAGAATACGTGAACAAATATCCTTGGGAAGGGGCAGGTGCATGAAGTGAGTGGCTTCTATGCTTGCTCTCTCCATGACCTTACTCAGATGATTAAATTCAATGTTTACTGAGTGTTTGATATATCACCATTGATTTTAGGGAACTGAGAGCTAACACAACCTAAAGTTTAGAAGGGGTTATAATTAGACTGTAAGCTTCTTGAAAGCAGTGACCATTTTATCATGCACATTGCTGAATTGTGCCTTGGATGTGTTCAATAAATCTTTGTTGACTTGGTTCATTTTGATTTATTCTGTCTGCCCACTAATATTTACCTTTCCTTTTACTCCTTTCCAATCTGCCAGGTAATCAAAGAGAAGCTAAGGCTGAAGCCTGCAACAGGCTCTGAGGTCCGGGGAAAGCTAGAAACTAAATCGGACCTGAACATGCAACAGCAGGAAGAGGAGGAGAAAGCCCGGCTCCTCATTGGTTTAAGTGTGGGCGACAAGAACCCTGGCAAGAAGTCGATCTTTGGCAGGCGCAAATGATTTGGCGATTTGAGTGGCTGCAGTACAGGATCTGACTCTGGCTCATGCTCCAGGGACTTGTGGAGTGGGAGGGGCTTCCCTTTATCCACCAGGATTTGTTGGTGTCAGAGCCTCTAGGCATTGCTCTTCAGCAGCTGGCCTATTCCCTGCAGGGCATGTGGACAATAATGCTGAGTTCCATCTCACGCTGATCAGGCTCAGGGCCAGAGAGGCAACAAGAGAGCAAGACCCAGGGAATGGGCCCAGGGCAGGACCCGATTCCCTTGGAGTCAAGTGAAAGGGTGGGGGGATAGTCCTGATCAAGTGTGATACATTTTTATAGACATATATACATATATATATTATATATATTTCTAAGTGTAACTGTCCTCCCTCTTTGCCAGGAAACTGAGGGGAGGGGGCTGATCCTCACTCCACTGCCATGTATGAAAGAGGTATTAGTGTTCCAGGGGAGGGGGCAATCAACCCCTCCCGAATCTCTGTGCTAAGTTCACTTGGGAGGTTGGCAATAGGAGCCAGGGCCGGCCATGGGTCCCCCACTTTTCCTCCTGAGATATATCCTGGAGAATGGCAAAAAGATTTAAAGAGAAAAAAAAATATTTTAAATTTGATGCTCGTTTTTTTGTGTGTGTTGAGTGCATGTGTTCAGTCTGTGTATCCCTCCGTTGTCAACCCAAGACATCTAGCAGCTGCCAGTCTGAGGGTGGCTCCTTCCCTCCTCTGTCCTGAAGCTGTATCACAGAAATTTCTAGTCCTAGTGTGACTCTGCCCCCATGCTGATGGGTTTCTGCACAGTGGAAGAGGCGGGGCTTCTGTCATGCAGCATCAGGGAGAGGAATTGCTTATGTAACTGGGACAGCAGATTTAGCAGGAGAGAGGAGGCAGAGGCTGGGGATGGGAGCAGTGAGCTGTCGGCAGGGGCAACACACCCGGGTGGCTGCTTCTCACAAGGTAGGCTATGGGGCTCTGGCAGTCTACTGAGGGGAGGAGAGGGAGACAGGGGCTTGAAGCCTGGGACGTTTTTGGTTAGGAGCATGGCAGTGATTACTGGATGTGGGGGTGGGGCAGGGAGGCTATACTGTGAAAGCATCACAGCTCTATACCAAGGTTCAGGCTGTGTTAATGATGCATTATGGTGAAAATGTCCAACAATTATTTTCCTAGAGGATTTGAATTGTGTCCAGAAAATCCAGGGCTTAGCATAATGCAAGGGTGACAGTATTTTCCTTCATGTTGGAAAATGTACCTCTAGGGGTGGAGACTTAAGGGGAGGGATTACCTAGTAAGATGGGTGGAACCAGCTATGCCTCAGGAGCAGAAAGTTTAGAGTGGCTCCCTTGGTTCTCAGCAGGGTGGCCGTATCTGGGGTCCCTGGGCCCGAGGCTGGAAGAGCCTCTGGTCAGGTATGGGAACCATCAGGTCAGATCTGGAAGAACTATGGGAACTACGGGGGCATCACAGTCTGCTCCAGGAGTCCCTAAGGCCAGCCTCACTGCTGGTAGAGAAGCCTCTGCCTGAGTGGCCAGTGCCTCAGTTCATCAACCTCTTTCTACCAGAGTTTCCTGTTAGGCCCATTAGGGAGCAGCAGCAGCTGAAGGTAAGTCAGTGGAATCCCTGAGTGGGGTCTCGGTCTTTGGGAGAAATTAGAAATCACCAGTCTCGATTGCCCTGTTCTCCATTTCTCTGTACAGATTTTAGGCCTTGTGGCTAAAGGCTCCTTTGGAACTGTCCTCAAGGTGGTAGATTGCACCCAGAAAGCTGAATTTGCAGTGAAGGTAGGGGCTCAGGTACCACATTCTCTGTTTCCAGTGTGGATTCCATACAGGTTGGGAGGAATAAACAATTCAATAGCTCTATTCTCTGTGAGTCATCACTACTCTCCTATAGGTGGTGCCCAAGGTAAAGGTGCTACAGAGGGACACCGTGAGGCAGTGCAAAGAGGAGGTTAGCATCCAGGTATGCACCGAGTCATGGAAAGGATTGTGGAAAGAGCTAGGCCATTGGCAGGGAAAGTACCTTTCTTGTCCACCTTCTTTTCCTGGTTCTGCCTCCTCCATCTGCTTCAACCTAGTTTAAAACTAAAGTAGGTCCTGGGAAAAGTAGCTATCAGCTAGCTATCAACAGTTTTTCCATGTCCTACCAGGGAAATCTCTTAATTCATGTCCCAGTGTATTCCTTAGTATTTGCTGGTTCCAGGATTACCAGGCAGTCAGTCCCAGTTACTGAGTTCCTCTGAACTGAAAAGTGAGGCAGCAATTCTCCCTCTGCACATCTGGGTAATGATTTCTTGTCTGCCTTTGTTCTCAGTGACCCTGTTCCTCCCTAACTTCCTGTTTTCTTTGTCCCTAGCGACAGATCAACCATCCTTTTGTACACAGCTTGGGGGACAGCTGGCAGGGAAAACGGCACCTTTTCATTAGTGAGTGACTGGACTCTCCTCATCCCCCAGGGTCCTTGTACCATACTCCCCACCTGAGATTACCTCTTTGGTTTGTTCTGCCTTTGTTCTGTCCCCCTTCTCATGACACCTCTCTCTCCCAAAGGGAGGGGGAATAGCAGGTGGTATCAGTTTGGGCAGGAGGCCTACAATGCCTTGAGCCCAGGCATTGCAGCTCCCAAACACTGCCTAGATTTCTGGCAATGTATGTAGCTCCAAACTGGCTTTGCAGTGTGTAGCTACTGCAGCACAGATCTGTACTCCCTTTGGTCGGCTGTTGGCTGCTTTCCTGAGGCTTCCATCCGACTCTTTGCTGCTGAGTTGGTCCTGGTGCTGTGTAAGTGAAACAGTGGTAAAGGAAACGGGGAGGGAAGATTTACGTTGGGAAGAAGGAGAGTAAAGAATTAATATTAATTCTGGAGGTCAAAGAATAGGATAAGGATGGGGTGAGGGCTACTAGGGAAAGAGGAAAGGACAGAAACGCTGCAGCACGCCCCATGCTTGCTATCCACAGGTTATCTCCATGACTTGGGCATTATGCATCGAGATGTGAAGGTAGAGTTAAGTGCTTTTTTCCCTTTGTCTGAGAAAGAGCCTCAGTAAGAAGTTCCAATAAGTCCAAGAAATCAGTGGGGGAGCTGAGAACAGTAGACCTTGGGGACCCCATGGGTGCCAAGGATTTGGGCAAGAGCTCTCTGGATATAGATTTGAGTGCTGAGTAGGGCATCACCTTCACGTGGGGTGTATACATGACAAAAGAGTTGAAAGGAAGAGGAAGAATAATTTCTCACCTGTGATCTTTCAGATGGAGAATATTCTTCTAGATGAACGAGGTAAGTCTTTTTTCTTCCCTAGCCCCAGGATGATAGGTGCTTTGGTTTGGGAATAAATCATGGCCGATAAGGGGTGGAACAGTGATGTGGTTGCCTTACCTTCTTTCATAGGCCATCTGAAACTGACAGACTTTGGTCTGTCCCGTCACCTGCCCCAGGGAGCTCGAGCCTACACTATCTGTGGCACTCTTCAGTACATGGGTGAGAGAGGTTAAAGCTGATTTGGGTAAGCACTGGGCAGGATAGCTAAAGGATGTCAGTGACGAATATCTTTGAAATCTGTAGCCCCAGAGGTCCTAAGTGGAGGACCTTACAACCATGCTGCTGATTGGTGGTCACTGGGTGTCTTGCTTTTCTCTCTGGCAACTGGAAAGGTGAGAGAATAGTAGTAGTTTTGGGCAGAGAAGAGCTGTGCCTTGTGGTGGGAAGAAGGAAGACCTTAAGAAATCTTGCCTTATTCCTACTAAAGAATGAACCCCTTCCCCTACCCCTACTCCCTACCTC